TGGTTTACCTTCACAATTTTGGGAGTTACCTGTGACATGCTCTGTGCTTGGTGAAGGAACAGATGTTTAATAACTTTGCAGTAGCAAGGAGGAGGTTATATAACATGGCTGAGCTATTTTTGAACTTTGGAAAACGCTGACTGCTCTTTTCAAAGTGTCTTCTGTAAAATCAGGAATATTAAACATGAAGAAAATGTCCCCCTTTCCTGTACTTTTTTTTTTTTCCCCCTGAAACTCTATGTACAGAAACAGGTTGGTGGTAAGGTCGTGAACATACCTTCCCTTGCAAGCAGACCCTGGTACCACGCCCAGTCCATGAGCAATAAATCAATGTTTCAATATCCTAACTGCACCAGTTCTTTGCATGAGATTATAAATAAAGTCCATGATGACCACCAAGTGGCATGTCTAGCTGGCCCCATGACTTTGTTCTCAGCCAGTCAAAGCTGGATCCCAGATCCCCTCAGTAACTCACCACAAAGACATCAGATATGACCTCATCTGAACTTCTGGAGCTATTTGCAACCTCCCTACTACATAGGAGGAATAGTGAGAGCTATTTGTTTACCAGATGCTTTGCAGAGTAAGACCTTAATCCAGCTGCAAATGTAACTTTTAAGCTTGAAGTGAGGAACTCCTAACTCGAGAGTCCTGGGCTTCTATTGAACAAGCTAATAGATCTAACTCAGGCTACAGATAGGTCTGTTCTCTGCTTTCAGCAATCCAGACTGAAAAATATCTTACTATAAAAAAACCTAAATGTCCCTCAAAGAGGAATTATTAAAGATGGAACATTTATACAACAGAATATCATCAATAAAATAAATGCAATTAATTATCTTCATAGAAGGATTTTGAAAACATAACGTTGAGGTAAAGGAAGTTCTAATACATTAGACACCATTTGTGTACATTAGACAGAAGTATGCATTGGGAATATGGTTACACATATATGTGCATTGAAAGTACGAAAACATGATGATGAATTTGGTTTACATCCAAATCCATGTACATGTTTTCCCTTCTATGGAGAGAAGAGGATAAAACTGGGACAGGGAAACAGATATAATCAGAACTTCTACATTATCATTAGTGTTTTATTTCTTTTAAAATGTTGAAACAAACATTAACCTTTGGCATCCTTAACTTTGTTCTCTATGATGAATATTGAGTTGGGTATTTTATCAGATTCTGTAGTTTTCTGTACTATTCATTTTTCAATATTAAAAAAAGAATTCTTATTACCTAAGTTTGTCTTTAGACAAATTTCCCCCACCTTGATTAGACTGTATTGTGTTTAAGGAGAGAAATTATATCTTAATTCATCTATGTATCCCAGGGGCGAGCACAGAGTCTGTTGGTTGGAAGCAATGATAGATGGAGAATAGAAGAATATAGTGCCTTGGCCGGGCGCAGTGGCTCATGCCTGTAATTCCAGCAGTTTGGGAGGCCAAGGTGGGTGGACCACCTGAGGTCACAAGTTTGAGACCAGCCTGGCCAACATGGTGAAACCTCATCTCTACTGAAAATACAAAAATTAGCCAGATGTGGTCGTGCGCGCTTGTAGTCCCAGCTACTTAGGAGGCGGGGTGGGAGAATTGCTTAATCCAGGAGGAGGAGTTTGTAGTGAGCCGAGATCGCGCCACTGCCCTCCAGTCTGGGAGACAGAGTGAGACTCTGTCTCAAAAACAAAACAAAACATATATATATATATACACACACACACACACACACACACACACACACCCCTTAATCCTTTTTTTGTTTTTAATGCCTTCTTTGGGCTTTCTCCAGCTCCCTGTCAAGGGCAGCCTGGCAGGTTTCCACTGTTCCCTGGGGTGGGCATCAGGGACTGTGGGAGAGTGTGGGAAGGAGAGACTACTTATGCATTATCCAAACTTACACACTGGGTGGACACCACCAACCCTGCATGGATGGAGAGATGTTTCATTAAACACCAAGCACTGGATGGCGACTTACCACACTTGATGCACTGCTTCTCTGGGACTGAAATACCATTTACAAAATTGCTGCATTTAAAGGCATAACTTCGGGAAATAGCGCAGCAGCATTTCACAGCAGCAGAAAAATTCCATTCTTTTTAAAAAAAGAATAGAATCCAGGGTGGTCACTGGAAAGGGATCTAAATGTCTTACCAATTATCCTTCTAGAATTCCTTTTCCTGTATATATTATGTTTCAATATATATTGCCGTAAAATTGAGTTATGTTTCCATCAAAATTATACATTTCTGAATATTCCAGCTGCAGGGCACATCTTATTATGGGAGTGAGAATTCATTAGCCTCGCTTATGTCTTTGGGCTGGCAGCAATCCTGCCTCTGTAAGAGACTCCCATGTCTCACGCTGATTTATCTGAGTTCCTTCCTGATATCTGGACAATTATTTTAAACGCTGAAAGTGGCAGTGTAGAAACAGGATTACTAAAGAGAGTAAAAGGACAGAGGACAGAGAAATGTCAAAGGAGCATGATTTCTCAATTCAAGGTTCTTTTTTTTTTCAGATTTACGTTAATTGTAAAGAAGTATATTCTGTCTACTTCAACACACACACACACACACACACACCCCTCCAGCCACAGTTCAGAGATAGTCTCTGAACTGTAGCAGATTCAAAGTCCTAAAACCTTCCACAAATATTTCAGAGTGACATAGTACCCTGCTGGCAATAAACCAACGTGGTTTGTTGACTGTAATTCCTTTTTTTAATTATTTTTTTTTTGAAATGGAATCTCACTCTGTCACCCAGGATGAAGTGCAGTGGCGCGATCTCAGCTCACTGCAACCTCTGCCTCTGCCTCTCCCTCTTGGGTTCAAGTGATTCTCCTGCCTCAGCCTCCTGAGTAGCTGGGATTACAGGCATGCTCCACCACCATCTAGCTAACATTTGTATTTTTAGTATAGACAGGGTTTCACCATGTTGGCCAGGCTGATCTTGAACTCCTGGCCTCCAGTGATCTACCCACCTTGGCCTCCCAAAGTGCTAGGATTACAGGCATAAGCTACCACATCCAGCCTGCTGACTACAATTTCTGACGACCAAAAACTTCATTGATCGCTCTGGAAGTTATTTAATATTACTAGGTGGTAAATACCGTGCTAAACAGTACTTTTCATGCAGTACCTCAATGAATACGACAATCTCTAGAACACTGGTTCTCAAAGCACAGCTCCTAGACCACGAACATCAGCATCACCCCAAAACTTGAAAGAAATTGCAAATTCTTGGGGCTCACACCATATTTTCTATTACATTAGAAACTCTGAGATTGAGGTCCAGTAATTTGTGTCTTAACAAGTCCTCCCAGAGATTCTGATGCCTGCTGAGGCCTGAGAACAGCTACCTAGAAATTAGGTGCTATTATCATCACTTTGCAATAAACACCTGAGGCCCAGAAAAGTAAAATGATTGTGCAAGTGATACAGAAAGTGGACAAGACAAGCTTTGAACCCAGACAAGTCTAACTTCAGAGTTGAGGCCCTTAATCACAGTTCTACAACGCTCATTATCTGAGGAATAAAGCATGAATTAAATCTGTGAACATCAGGCAGAACCATGCAAAATGGGGATAGGAGGGATCATTCTAAATCTCAACAGCTTAACCATAATGATGGGCCACAAGGAACAATGACACTTCTCAGAAACCTAAAATTTAACTTAAATGTTCGCCAAGATGGGAGTAAATAAATTATGATACATTCATATAATGGAATAGAATGCAGTTCTGCGAGTAACGTTTGCCAAGATTTCCAATGACCTACAAAAGTACTTAGAATATAAGAAGGGAAAAAAATCAAATGCAAAATCAAACAGAGACCAGGAGCACTAGTGTGGGAAGTTTCCCCAAAGCGTAACATGTTGGTGAGGACGTGGGAAACCGGGTGGTTTCACAAACTGTTGGTGTGACTATAAATTGGTGTTGTTACTTTGCAGGACAATTTGGCAATAGATGCCTCCATTTAAAAAGGCACATGAATTAGGACCCAAAAATCCTGTATCTTAGAATCAACCCTAGAAAAAAACTTGCACATGTGCATGGACATGTATAAAGATGATCACTGCTGTTTAGCTTCTAATAGGAAAATAATCTGACAAAATCCCTAAATTAAATGTTTGTAACACAAATGATGAATCCTTGAGGTGATGAAAACCCCATTTACCCTGATGTGATTATCAAACATTGTATGCCTCTACCAAAATACTTCACTTATCCTATAAATAAACACATTTTTGTATTGTGAGTTGGGGCGGGAGGTGGGGATGACTAATAGGGTTAAAAAAAAAAATAGAAAGAATGAATAAGACCTGCTATATGATAGCATAATTGGGTGACTATAGTCAATAATAAATTACTTGTATATTTTAACATAACTTAAAGAATATAATTGAATTGTTTGTAACTGAAAGGCTAAATGCTTAGGGGATGGACACCCCATTCTCCATGGTGTGCTTATTTCACACTGCACGCCTGTGGCAAAACATCTCATGTACCCCATAAATATATACACCTACTATGTACCCACAAAATTTTTTTAAATAAAAGAAAATTAACTCCTAAATTTCTATCATTATGCAGATCAGATAACTAAATCATGACACCACGATACCATATTGAAGAATGTGATGTGGGCTCTGAAGTTAGACTTGTCTAGGTTCAAATGTTTATGAGTTACAAAAAATATAGGTACACTTGAGATATAGCTATAGACAGACAGACAGATCGATCGATCCCTGGTGTAGGTTTCCAAGATATATTGTTGAGTAGAAAAAAAAGGTAAGCTGTAGGAAACAAAGTTTGATGTGACTTATCTTACAAAGGAGATGAGAGAAAGAGAGGAGAGCAAAATAAAAATCCCATAAGTAAACACACAACATCATGCATTTTCAGTGCATATTTCCAACAATGAGTATGTAAGTGAGCAAACAATGACAACAGCAAAACTCTCATCCCTCTTTGGGAGACAACAAGCTCTTTCTTACGGGTGCAAGGTGTGCATCGGGATCTCTGGTCTCTCCATCTGCCCGTAGCAGCTGGCCTTGGCCTCGGGGATGTAGGAGAACTTCTCCAGCATAGAAGATGCAGCAGTGGTTAGGATGCCAATGCCGTCCCTCACTCTTGCCTCCAGGGTGTAGTCCCAGTCATCGTAGGAGACGGAAATAAGTCCCGATGGAAACTCTTTGGGGATGAGCTCCGTGTTCCCAGAGACCAAGCTGGGGACAATCCAGAAGAAATCATACCCGGTGAGGCCAAGGGAACGGGCCTCACTCAGAATGAGGACAGCCTCGTCTTTGGAACAGTAGAGCAAGATGACAGAAGAGTGGATCTTCTTCAACTGGACTTGTGTCTTTGCATCCTCAAAGGAAGTGTCCAGTGTGATCACATTCTGCATGTCCCAGCCCACAAAGCTGTTGTCCACCGTGGTCTTGACGAAGCTGATGAAGTCCCTGTAGCCAGGGAAGATGGTGGTCACCAGGGAGAAGACATGCCAGTCATAATCCTGCATGATCTTCAGCATGACCGTGGCTTGCTGCTGGATGGATGCTCCAAACTGGAAGAAGGTAGACGTCGGATCCTGCCAGTGAAAAGAAAGTAAAACAAAGGATGAGGCAGGAGGTGGTTTATACAGAAGCACGAAACTGCATCCTAGAAGTAAGGAAGGTAAATCACACATCAATCATTTGCAGATATTCCTGAGCATCTACTATATGCCAGACTCCAGAACAGATCCTGCAAATACAGAGAGGAAAGAAGCCGCTGTACTCAGGAGCTTATAGCCAGGTCCTGGAAGGATGTCTGTTATTATTGCTTGTTTATCATCTATTCTTCTCATTTTCCTCCAGTTCATCCTGCCCCCTCCTCCTTTGAGTCTATATGGTTCTAACAGAACAAACTCTATCTGACCCCCACCCCGGCTCACGACTGGAAAAATCAAGCCACGGATACAAAACAGCATCAACAAAGACAGACAGTTTTCTAACGATATATTTGGAGCCCCTAGAGTCTGCCAAGTCTGAAGTCATTTCTCCTGGACCCCTTGGTTACAGAAACCAGTACGTTTCTATGTTCATGTAAGCAGTTTGAGTAGGGTTTCTGTCACTTGAACGTACAGCTCCCACGTAATAGAGTATCATAAATACCATGTGGACATCTACCTTTTCAATCAACAAACATTTATCGAACACCTTATTAAGCGTTCTTAATAAGAATTAAGTGGAAGACAACTTCCATGAACTAAGGGCTAAAAGATGCATATGAAGTGCTGAAGGAACATCCAGGTGAGGAAGAGGAGAAATGCATGGATGTTACAGTCAGAGGAATCCCAAGGATACACTACAACTATTTCAGAAGCTGTAGATGAATACATCATGGCGCCCAAAGGAGGGGTACGATATGATGTTGAAGAGCTTGGCAGAAACCCCAGTACATAGGGCCTGAGGAGCTATGTCCAGAGAGTTAGACTCTATTCAGAGGAAAAGGGAGAGTCGCTGAATGTTCTCACCCTAGAAAGTGGCATGGTAACTTATGTTGTGTTAAAGGGCCTCTATTAGCCCTAACATCTCCACCAATCTACGATCATGAGAACAAATTTCCATTTAGAAAAGGCAGGTGATGCATACAGTGGTACAATATACAAGCTGCCTTCATACCCCCTAACACGTCAAATCCCCACAGTGATCCTACAAAGCTGGTATTGTTGGCAGGGAAAATGAGGCTCAAAACGGTCACACGGCAAGTAGGCATCCGTACCTCGGTGCCATGACTCTACGTCCTGCCCCCTTTCTGACACTCAACCACAGCCTTCCTGGGATCACTGAAGATCTGTATGGAACAGATGCTTAAATCACATTGTTGACTTGTGGACATGGTGCAAAAATGCCAACTAAACAGAACAAAAAGTATGCCTCTGTGTTGGAGCAAAACAGGATTTGACAAGTGCTGAGTCGTATTTCCTTCAGGTAACTGAAAAAATTATCAAAGGGTCCTCATCATATTACAGTCATGTTTTTATTTTGCATTCTGTATTTACCATGTGTATTGAACACAACCTCAACAGGGTAACTTATGGGGATTCCACTGCAAGAGTGTGTGTGTGTGTGTGTGTGTATGTGTGTGTGAAGGGTGGATGTTCCATTCACGTTTTTCAGAACAATACTTTGTAGCTGTGCATGTCAATTCTTTCAACAAGCTTACATCGCTTTCCCTGTGGGTGCTCACTAAAAGTTTTATCAGAACGGGCCAAAAGCTATAGTTCTTCGAAATACTGCTCTTTTCTGAAATGCATGGGTTTGGGGGATAATTTGAGTGAAGCGTGGCCTGAAGGCAGAGAAAAGAAACAAGAATAAATGTCTTCTGGGCCCCTTCCAACATTACAGTTCTATGAATTTTACCTAATTAAATCAATTAAAGTGGGTAATAGATTTAAAGACTTTGGATAATTATTGTTTTCCCTACAGTAGCTTTTACAGAAATCTAATATTCTTGAATTGATTAACCATTTTAAATCACATCTCAACAAGACTGTGAGCTCCTCAAGGGCAGAGATTTTTGTCGTTTTCATCTTTATGTCCCCAGAACCTGGCAGAAGTCTTGGCACAACCATAAATGGATGACAAGGGAATGAATATGTGAATGAAGCCTAAGAGGAATGTCCTTGGTTAAGACCAGAAATGGAAAGAAGGAGAATTCAGTAACTGAGATTGTATTTTGTGTGGATTCTCAATATTGTGACCAAAACAAAATGAAACTTTCAACATCATCACCTACACCTTCCTACCCTGAGGAATTACCCAACCATCCAATACCCACCTATATCTCAATGTGTCATTTGTTGATAAAGAGGAGAATATAGAAGACCTATAAACCTCAGCAGTTGTGCAAAGAACTTCATTAAATGTCAAAATAGGGCAACAACATAAAGAAACCACCAACAGAAGGCAACACAGAAGTAGAGTCTAAAGGCAATTATATTCACCAACCTCACACACTGTGAGACGCCTCTTGGGATGGGGCAAAAATGTTCTAAATTACCAAAGAAATGTGATAACTCCCATGGAAATGATGCCTCAAAGGAAGCCAGTCACCAGAGCTACCTTCTGACTGCAAAAGGCAGTGGATCGGCATCTTGCACTGAGTACACAAGGAACAGAGAAAGCTCTTAACAGGACACACCTTAAAGGCACCACTGGAACCCAATAAAAAGGGTCTATGAGACAATTCCTTGGGAAGATTGGTATTGGTGGAGAGGTGAAGGTCAGACATGCCAGATGGTGATGGAATGTGGGATCCTCCAACACCCTTGCTCTATGTACTCTGAGCTAGACATGACCAGGGTATCCATGCAAATGTTTGTGCACAGAGTAGAGCTGTAAGCACACGCATCTTATCTGGTTCTCCACATGTAGAGGAGGGCATGGCTGCACTGTGAACTTCCTCAGGAGAAAGATAATTATAGGGACAGCAGTTAATCGGCCCAGAGCCAGCTCGGCACAGGCCATCTGTGAAAGAGTATGTGCAAAAACCCTTGCTTTGTGCTGTACCCACTCCCTGTCATGCCAAATTTCAGCCCAAGCTGAATCTCTCCCATTACTCACTATGCTGATCCCCATTCGCAGCCTCTCCCCAGAATGGAGAATACTAGAACCTCTGGGGTCGGACTACCCAGCTCCAATCCTCATTATGTGGCTTTGGGTAGGGGGGGATAAAACCACTCAGCCTTTCTAAGTCTCAGTTTTCTCACCTATAAAATGGGTGTGGCTATGGTGATAATGACCATAGTAAAACATGCTAGAAATACTTAGTCTATGAGAGTCACATTGCTCCTTACTTTCTAGGTACTATCTCATTTAATGCCACCCCCAACCACCTTACTAAGTTGGCACTAGTAGTATGCCCATTTTACAAATGAAAAAAGACCCAGAAATAGGCTGATTTTTCAGGTAGAAAATCATACAGGTAGAAATCAGGTTTGCCTGCCCTCAGGGTCTCCAGCTTTTTATCTCTGCACTCTGCTGTTGCCAATAATGGTGCTTTCTCATTGAGTCGTAGGGATTAAATGATTCCCTTGTAGCAAAGCACCCAGTGTAGTGCCCATCACGTATGAAGTACTCAGCAAATATTTCACATCAGGAGATTATGCTATCTTTTCCAAGAGGTAATCCACACTCTGGACTTGGAGCATCTCAACAACTCAACCTGTTCAGAGCTGCCTCGTTGAAACTCTTAAAGCATCCCTTTAACCATGCCACTGCCCTACTCTGTAGTCACCAATAGCTCCCAGAGGCCTGCCACGTTAAGTTTAGACTCCCTAGCCTACCCATCTATGTGTATCAGCTTTATAGTTGAAATATCATGAGCTCTAGGGTCTACTGAACCTCAGTTCAAGTCCTGCTTTTGAGGGACTGTGGCTAACCTAGCCAGCCCTGCGGCTTTGGGAAAGTGCTTAATCTTTCTGGGTCTGAGTCTCTTTCCCTATAAGACAGGAATAATGACCCCTCCATCGCTTGGGGCTGCTGTGAGAATGGGATGAAATGGTAGAAGTGGGAGACTCATCTGTCCATGCCTGACTTTGACAGTTTGGGTACTTGTCTCCACATCCTTGGTCCTACAGATCACACAGACATCGTCAGAAACCTAAGAGGGTCCTCATCCTATTTCAGGAACTGGTCTCTCCAAGTCCACTGACATGCTAGTTTCAAATCCCCACCACCCCATGCAAACCAGCTCATTTATTCTGAGCCCAAGGAGCCTGCATAATGCAAAGAAAAAACTGCCTTTCCGTACAGCAATGAATCCATGCCTTGAAGAGAAACCATCCCTAATGTCCTTCCTGGGCATCATGCAGTTACCCTGTACCACTCTCATTTCTATTGGCATCTTAAACTTCAACCCAAAAACCACCGTGGACCAAAAGCATCATCTACCCCTTGGAGGGACAGAAGCAAGGGCCTATTTGCAAAATATAATAGCATAGCAAAACAATGAAGAGGCTCACATTTAGCTTTGGGATTTTCTAAGGTGATTTTATGGACTGGTAGGACATGATGGGGAATCTGGCCACACTTCAAGGGCCTGGCGTCCAATACGCCAAATTGCCTGAAGCCCCTGAACGTCCTTTCCACTCCCTGCCTTGATGGTAGAGGCCACCTCTCCTGCACTTACCTCCTCCTGCCACGGCTCAGCCTGTACTTTTCGGATTCTACATATCAGCCTCTGACCACCTCTGGCACTCGGCTTCCTTAGAATGTGCAGCCGGGGGAGAGGAACAGATTTCATACACCCACTTTGATTTTGAAGCAAAAGCACTTCTCTCCCCATGCTCACTGCTCTGCGGAAGACAGAACAAACTGTTTTAAACACAGAGCGAGGGAGGCAGAAGGGTGTGGGATTCTGGGTGTCTGCTCTAAACTCTGTGTTTTAGTCCCATCATAACTGAGGTCTCATTCAATCAGGTCTGGAGCATTCAATCCTGCTCCAGAATGTTCCAGAGCTTGCTGGGTCCCCAGGGTGACACCTGACTCCATGGGTACCAAGCCCTGGTGTTTCCTAGAGCCTAACAGCAACTTACATTCCATT